ACCAGCTTGCATTCCCACCAACAGTGTAAGAGGGTTCCCCTTTCTCGGCATCCTCGCCAACATCTGTCGTTTCCTGACTTGTTAATTTTAGTCATTCTGACTGTTGTGAGGTGGTATCTCGTGGTTTTGTTTTGTATTTCCCTGATACTGAGTGATGCTGCGCATTTTTTCATGTGTCTGTTGGCCATTTGTATGTCTTTGGAGAAATGTCTTTCATGTCTTCTGCCCTGCCTTTGTAATTCTGACAGACATTGCCAAATTATCTTCTCACTAGTGATGTGCAAGAATGTGTGTTTCCCCATTTGCCCCAACCCAGCGTGTTATGCACTGCTGTTATCTTTGCCCATCAGATAGGTAAAAATAGTATCTCAGTGCAGTTATAGCTCTGTTTATCTTATTGTGAATGAGTCTGAATATTTTTTCATTCAGAGCTGTTTACATTTCCTTTGCTGGGCAGTCACCAGCCCTATATTGGCCAGATTACTACTGGATTGTTAGTTTTTCTCTTATTGATCTGTAATCACTCTTTATATGTTAAAGAAATGAACCCTTTGTGTCAAGTTGCGTATGTTTTTTCCTCAGTTTGTTCACTTCCTAGGACATTAAATTGGTCTTTGGAATAACAATAGCATTGGGAGGAATTGAGGGGCATATGTCATCCCCCTCAACTTCCCAGAAGGAAAAAGAATGTCACGCTAAGTAACATAACTTTCAACTGTCATAAAAGTTACTGAGCAAACTATGAAGCATCAGTGTGGGTTCATTCAACAGATATATGTGGAGCACTTACTGGGTGCCAGATATTCTAGATGCTGAGATTATAATAATGCCCAAAACCATCAAGATCACACTCTCATGGATCTGACATACCAGTGAGGGAGATGCACTGTGAAAGGGTAAACAGAAAGAGAGATACCTTGAGATAGTGATAAGTCTTACAGAGGAGGTGAAATGGAGATAACAAAGAGAGGGGTGGTGGTGGCTGCTTTAGATTAGGTGGTCAAGGAGGGCATCTCTGAAGAGGTGATTTTTTTTTAAAGAGAGAATGTGAGTGCTTGAGGAGGGGGAAACAAAGGGAGAGAGAGAATCTTTTTTTTTTAAGGATTTATTTATTTATTCTAGAGAGAGAGAGAGCACAAGCAGAAGGGGCAGAGGGAGAGGGAGAGACTCTTAAGCAGGCTCCATGCCCAGCATGGAACCTGACGTGGGGTTCAATCTCATGACTCCGAGATCATGACCTGAGCTGAAATCAAGAGTCAGACACTTAACTGACTGAGCCACCCAGGCGCCCCTGAAGAGGTGATTTTATCTGAGTGACAAGAAGGGCCTAGGCAGGAGTATAAGAACTAGAACTGCTTGGCAGAGGGAACAGCATGTGCAAAGGCCCTGAGGTAGGAGTTGAGGTCAGGAAGACTAGCACGGGCTTTGGTATGAAGGACCTTAGAGACCAGGTAAGGGGTTTTGATTGTATTATTGTGGCTATGAGAAGCCACTGGAGTATGTGTGTGTGTGTGTGTAAGGGGGTTTTGCTTTTTCTTTTGGAAATGTTCAAACCTAAAAGTGGAGGGTATGATATAAGGAACTGTACCTTCACCCGCTCAGTAGACACCAACCTTTTGCCAATCCTGTTTCATCTATACCCTTCACTTTTTTGGTGGAGAGGCTGGATGTTTTTTTCTCTCCCTCTGTCCCTGCTTCATTTCCCTTTAAAAAAAAAAAAAATCTTTTCATTGAAGTATAACAAATACGGTAAAGTGCACAAATCATAAATATACAGATCAGTGACACTCACAAACTGAGCATACTCATGTAACTAGCAGCCAGATCAAGAACTAAATATGGCCAGCTCCCCAGGAGCCCCTGGGGATGCCTTCTAGCCTCTCCCTCCCCAAATGCAAATGGAACCATATAGGATGCTCTCTATCATGTCTAGCTTCTTCCACGTATCATGTCTGGGAAGTTTATTTTGCTGTGTGTCATTACAGATTGTAGACTGCCCCTTCTCATTGCTGTAGCATTCCAGTGAATCAGTTTACTCACCCATTTCGATTCCGATGGGTACCTAGGCTTTCTTTGGGTTTGGGCCATTACAAATGGTTCTGCCCTGAACATCGTGGCACGTGTCTTTTGGTGAACACACGTACACACTTAAAGTGGCTAGCACCCAGGTGGGGAACCGCTGGGTCATGAGACAGGTGTATGTTTGGCTTTAGTAAATAGTGCCTGTATTTGTTTTCTAGAGCTGCTATAACAACCAACCACCAACTGGCTGTCTTAAACAACAGAAATGTATTCTTTCACAGCTCTGGAAGCTGTAAGTCCGAAGCCAGTGTGTTGGCAGGGCTGGGCATCTTCTCTCTGGGTCTCTTCACAGTGCCTTCTCTCTGTACATGTTTGTCTCTGTGTCCAAATTCCCCCTTACTAAATGGACACCTGTCATATTGGATTAGGACCCTATCTTCAAATAAGGCCACTCTCTGGGGTTCTGGGGGGTTAGGATTCCTACATGTCTTTTGAGGGGCGGACATAATTCAAATCATAACAGTGCCAAAGTGGTTGAACCAATTTACTGTGCTGGAGTATTTTATTTTATTTTATTTATTTATTTATTGCTGTGCTGGAGTATTTTTTTTTTTAATATTTTATTTATTTATTTGAGAGAGAGAATGAGAGAGAGAGAGCATGAGAGGGGGGAGGGTCAGAGGGAGAAGCAGACTCCCTGCCGAGCAGGGAGCCCGATGCGGGACTCGATCCAGGGACTCCAGGATCATGACCTGAGCCGAAGACAGTTGCTTAACCAACTGAGCCACCCAGGCGCCCTGTGCTGGAGTATTTTAAAGCTAATTCCAGACGCGGTATCTTTTGCCTCAGGTGTTTTAAGAGAAGGGAAGACTTGGTCTGATTTACATTTTTAAACGATACTATTTGTTCTGTGGGAATGTAAGACAAGGCAAATATTTCTTCAAGAAAGAGAAGGTAAGGGGCGCCTGGGTGGCTCAGTCGTTAAGCGTCTGCCTTCGGCTCAGGTCATGATCCCAGGGTCCTGGGATCGAGCCCTGCATCGGGCTCCCTGCTTGGTGGGAGGCCTGCTTCTCCCTCTCCCCCTCCCCCTGCTTGTGTTCCCTCTCTCGCTGTGTCTCTCTCTGTCAAATAAATAAAATCTTAAAAAAAAAAAAAAAGAAAGAGAAGGTAAATCAAGAGCGAGCCCTCCTGGGTCAGCCCAGATAGGATGCTCTGGTAGCCCGCGGTTGGGAGAAGCCTCCTGTGGGCCCTTAGCTAAGGGAAGCCATTCAGAGACCGTGCTCCATCCCTCCCCGCCCACTCTGTGGAACCCCTCAGGGCTCACACGGTGCAGAGGGAGCTGGGCCAAGACTCAGGCTGTCTTTCTGTCCATCCCCCTCCCTGCCAGGACATACAGCAGCTCCTCCAGCTTCAGCAGCTGGTGCTCGTGCCAGGCCACCACCTCCAGCCACCTGCTCAGTTCCTGCTGCCACAGGCCCAGCAGAGTCAGCCAGGTAAGGCCCCACCCACCCCATGGCCTCCCTCCCCGAGGATGCTTCCACAGAACTCTCCCTCCTCCCTCACCCCGTGCAATCCCCTTGTCTCCCCAGGCCTGCTACCGACACCAAATCTCTTCCAGCTACCTCAGCAAACCCAGGGAGCTCTTCTGACCTCCCAGCCCCGGGCCGGGCTGCCCACACAGGTGAGAATGTCCACCGAGTGTGCCAGGCTGGGTGAAGAGGGGGTGGGAGGGTGAGGGTCTCTGCTCCCTCCAACCCTCCCCATGACCATAGGGGCCAGAACAGGAGTCGGGAGACCTGGGGACCAGCCCTGCTCTGCCACTGATTTGCTATGGGACCTTAGACAAGCCACTCTCCCTGTCTGGGTCAGCTTCTTCCTCTATAGAAGGAGGGGAATCAGCCAGGCCAGGGACTCTTAACCCTTTCAGACACATGGATTCCTTTGAGAATCTGATGAAAGATTTTGATCTGACCCCCGCTACCCCAAAATGCACACGTGCAAAAAACCCATAGGTTGTGGCCTGGCCTTTCTTTCAGTTTGCTGACTGGGTTCTAGACTTCAATAATAATCTTTCATGATTCTTTATGGATTTCGACATTCCCTCCTACCCACTTTTTTTTAACAGCCCTTTCAAAAAATATGAACTATTTAACCCAAAAAGTTTAGAGACTAATACCGGGCTGAGCTGAATTCTGAAATCCAAAATGCTTGGAAAACCAAGTTGTTTTTGTAATGTGAGACCAGAAGTTATTTGGCTGCAAAACCCGTCTTGACCTAAGGCAAAGGAGTATGACTTTCCTTTCTCCCTCCCATGTGGTATTTGTGCTTTGCTGAGAGCTGTTAATGTGTTCATTGATGGGGTGATGCCTTGACCCTGATGGGGGGAGTCACATTATTTGTGACCCATGTAGGCTTTCTAAAATCTGTAAAATTTCTGAATTCCAAAACCCATCTGGCCCCAGCATTTGGATAATGGATCAAGGACTTATGTGACCAACATGGTTGCACTCACCACCTGTTTCAGATATTTTTAGGGAAATAAAGCAATTCAGAGAGACCTGTTGCTTCTTTGTAAATCCCCCAGGCACCCTCCTCATCTACTTTTAAAAATGCTTTCACTTTATCTGCAACCTTTCACGGGATTCTCCCATCAACCCCATGGGGTGGGCAGAGCAACCATGATTATTTCCATTCTGCAGAGGGGAAAACTGAGGCCCAGGGAGATTAAGAAACTTGCCTGAGTTACCCAACAATTCGGTAGCAGAGCCAGTCATTAATTCCCTGCCTGAGAGAAGGATAAAACCATGGCCCCCAGCTCCAGGGAAAAAGTCGATGGTTGAAAGGAGCTGGCTACTCCTGGGACTTTGCAGGCTGGGAGGGAATGTGCAGAGAGAGAGTTGGGGGCAGTGAGAGGTCCCTATGGAGTAGCAGAGTGTCCCCTTGATGGGGATTGACAATGAGTGCGCATCAGCCTCCTGGGGACAGGTAGAGGAGAGCCTGCAGGAAGAGGTGGGATGGCAGAGAGGGAAGGAGGGAGGGAGGACTGCGCAGCCATTGCTGAGCCCCATCCTGGTCCTCGATCCTGCACCCCACCCACCCCTGCCCACCTTACCAGGCCGTGACCCGCCCCACGCTGCCCGACCCGCACCTCTCGCACCCGCAGCCCCCCAAATGCTTGGAGCCACCATCCCACCCCGAGGAGCCCAGTGACCTGGAGGAGCTGGAGCAGTTCGCCCGCACCTTCAAGCAACGCCGCATCAAGCTGGGCTTCACGCAGGTCTGGGCCACCCGGCAGCACGGGCGGTGGGCCTGCGGGTGACGCGGCCTGGCCAGGTGGTGGGCGGGCGCGCGCTCCCTGTCCGCAGCGCGGGGCAGTGGGCGTGGCCAGGTGGTGGGCGGGGCGAGAGACCGCAGCTGGCCGGTGGGCGGGGCCAGGGGTGTGGCCAGCCGGTGGACCGGGGTGAGCCCGGCGCCCTGACCGCCGCCCCATTCCCCACCCCACTTGGCCAGGGTGATGTGGGCCTGGCCATGGGCAAGCTCTACGGCAACGACTTTAGCCAGACGACCATCTCCCGTTTCGAGGCCCTCAACCTGAGCTTCAAGAACATGTGCAAACTCAAGCCCCTCCTGGAGAAGTGGCTCAACGACGCAGGTGGGACTGGGCCGGGGCTCCCAGGGTGGGCGGCCGGTGGTGGGCCCCGGAGGCTCCCTCTCATGCCCCCGTCTCCTCCCGGGCACAGAGACTATGTCTGTGGACTCAAGCCTGCCCAGCCCCAACCAGCTGAGCAGCCCCAGCCTGGGCTTCGACGGGCTCCCTGGCCGGAGACGCAAGAAGAGGACCAGCATCGAGACAAACGTCCGCTTCGCCTTAGAGAAGAGTTTTCTAGCGGTGAGGCCGCGGCCTTCGGGGAGGCCCTGAGGTGGGGGGTCGGGGTGGACCTGGGGTTCACCAGCCCTCTGCCCGCAGAACCAGAAGCCTACCTCAGAGGAGATCCTGCTGATTGCAGAGCAGCTGCACATGGAGAAGGAAGTGATCCGCGTCTGGTTCTGCAACCGGCGCCAGAAGGAAAAACGCATCAACCCCTGCAGCGCAGCCCCCATGTTGCCCAGCCCGGGGAAGCCAGCCAGCTACAGCCCCCATCTGGTACCAGGAGCCCCTCTGGGGGTGGGGGGCACAAACCTCTGGCAACACCCCACCCCTAGGCAGGGGCCTCTGTGAAGCACAGTCTACTTGGTTGTCCACAGTGCCTGGCACAGGGGCAGGGAGACTCACCCTTAGCGACAGGCTGTCACAGGGTTGGAGCACAGTCACACAGGGACACAATTTCCAGGGAACTGTGGTCTTATGTGGGGGATACAAGCACCCACAGACACATACCAACAGAGCCAAAAATAGTTCTCGAAGTGCATGGCCACATGGGGAGAGATCCCAGGTAGGGGATGGAGGTACCCCCCCCCCCATACACACACACACAGGTTCACAGCCACACACACAGACACAGGCAGGGACAGCGTTATGTCCCTGGGTGTACATTCAGGTTCACAGCTGCACGCAGACCTGCTTGGGATCAGATGCACTGGGACACCCCTTTATTGCATCTCATGTGGAAAGGGGCTGTGACGTGACAGAGAGGAGCCCCCCAGGCCCATGGTATGGAGGAAGAAGAGACCACCTGAGCTGAGTTCTAAAGGACAAGGGAGAGGTAGCCAGCCACTTAAAGACTGCCCTGCCCAAAGGCCTAGAAGCCAGAGTGTGCTGAGCCCAATCGGAGGAACTCCAGTGCAATTTAATGTGGTTGGAGCAGGAATGTATATGAATGAGTATGAGGGTAGGGGTGGGCTGGGCAGGGGCCAGACTCTCAAGTAACATGCTGAGGAGCTTGAACGTGAACCACGGGTGGTGAGGAGCTAAGGAGGAGTTTTGAGCTGGGGAGGGACAGGGTCACATCAAGAGTGAGGCTATTGGAGCTGATGGAGGCAGGGAGGCCAAGAAGGAGGCTGGTGGGTGGTCCCAGAAAATCAAGCAACAGGACATCCCAACACTCTGATGCAGAGACGCCCCTTATCATCATAATACTCCCCCCCACACACACACAGACGCTTTAGACCTGCAACTGGATGGTGTCAGAGAGGTGGGAGAACACTCTCAATTAGGAATTATTTTTTCCCACCTATGGCTCAGGATCACTTCGGGTAAATGTTAACGTAGATATGATGGAAAGAACCTAGCATAATACAAGCATAGCATTGTGCCCGAAGTCTCTTCTCCCCTCAGCCTGAGGGCAGATGAATGGGGGTCTTACCCACAGGGAGCGTCATGAGGGCTACTGGGAAACAGTGGCCTCACCATGCCTTCTTTCCTCTCTCCCCAGGTCACACCCCAAGGGGGCGCCGGGACCTTGCCATTGTCCCAAGCTTCCAGCAGTCTGAGCACAACAGGTCAGGGCGGGCAGGAGCCCGTGAGGGGGCTTTGGGAGGCCCAGTACAGGCCTGAGGTTCTCTAGTGGCTTAGGGCATCTGTGGGCCTCAAGGCTGAGCCTGGGGATGAGGGAGGCAGGGGGCACAGAGAGGAGAGGGCAGCCTAACCCTCCCTGCCAGAGCAGCTCGGCTCTCATCTGCTCTACGATTTCCTGTGAGAAAAGCACGGACTTTGCTAAAAGTTGATGTACTCGGGTTTTGGTCCTGGCTTTTATAAACTGTGTGAGCTCCAGGAGTGACTTTACCTCTCTGAGCCTCAGGTTTTATCAAATTATTGTGAATGTATAATACATACAAAAGCTATATACGTGAATATATACATACAAGAGTGTGTATGTCTGTGTACCCCCCCACACACACACATACATGCTCTTTTGTGCCCAAAGTTCCCCTTGCTCCCTTCCTGGGACAGGGCCTGTGTAACACCACATATAAGAATAATAGAAAACTGGAGCCTGGCTGGCTCAGTCAGTGGAGTATGTGGCTCCCGATCTTGGGGTTGTGAGTTCAAGCCCTACATTGGGTTAGAGATTACCGAAATAAATAAACTAAAAAAAAAAAAAAAAGAATAGAAAACGAACATCATATTGATTTTTCTCAGATTAAGAGATAAGAAGTGGAAGCTTATAAAGTTATAAAGGTGTGCCTGGCACTGTCTAAACTCTTTATGAAGAATATCGACTCATCTCATCCTCACACTCATTGTATAAAGTAGGCCCTGTTATTATCCCCATTTTCCAGATTAGGCAACTGAAGGCCAGAGAGGTGAAGGTACTCGCCCAAGGGCACAGATGGGGCGGAACAGGCAGGAAATTGCTGCCCGTGGCTGTCTGGCCATCCGGCCGCTGAGCCCTCTCCACCTCGGCGCGCACAGCCGCAACCCCCTGCCTGGCCCCTAGAGGGAGCCACAGGGCGAAGTCTTAGGGGCGCCCGGCGCCGAGGCTCAGGGCCGGATTCGCGCAGGGTGAGCGCACCCGGGCACGGGGCTCGGCTCCGGGGGTGGCAGCTGCCCACGCTGCCATTATTGTGATCGCTGTCACGGCGGCCTTGGGAAGAGCCGGCGGGAGGCCTAAGTCTGTTCCCCCGGAGGAGATGCCGCAGGGCGCGCGCTGGGCGGGAAGGCGAGCAGGGGTGGACCCCGGGTTCCCCGGTGGAGGACAAGTGGAAGCTGAAGTCTCCGTCTCTCTGTCTCTCTCTGGCAGTTACTACCTTATCCTCAGCTGTGGGGACGCTCCACCCCAGCCGGACAGCCGGAGGGGGTGGGGGCGGGGGCGGGGCCGCGCCCCCCCTCAATTCCATCCCCTCTGTCACTCCCCCACCCCCGGCCACCACCAACAGCACAAATCCCAGCCCTCAAGGCAGCCACTCGGCTATCGGCTTGTCGGGCCTGAACCCCAGCACGGGGTAAGTGGACAGTTGCACTTAGGGAGGCTGTGGGGAGAGAAGCAGGGTCGCTGCTGCTTCCCGGGTGGGAGCCGCGCCCCAGTTCTGCCGCCGGCGGGTCCCTGCCCCTGCTAACGCCTCTGCTTTGCCTCTTGCAGAAGCACAATGGTGGGGTTGAGCTCCGGGCTGAGTCCAGCCCTCATGAGCAACAACCCTTTGGCCACTATCCAAGGTGCGTGCTGCCTCATGTCACTCCCATCGCCACCAGCCTGGCCCCCTGGGGCCTCGAGCCTCCCCCCATTGCTGCTCCAGCCATGCCATCCTGCCCCGCTCACTGCATCGCTCGCCTCTTCATACCCATCTCACCTTTGGGGAAGGTGTGAGGGGTGCTGATGGGGGTCAGTGGGGCCGATGGGAAGATAGGGGGCACTGTGGGCAGGATGCTGGAAGGTGCCCCCAGCCCAGCCTCTCTCTCTCCCCACCAGCCCTGGCCTCTGGTGGAACCCTGCCCCTTACCAGCCTTGACGGCAGCGGGAACCTGGTGCTGGGGGCGGCCAGCGCGGCCCCGGGGAGCCCTGGCCTGGTGACCTCACCGCTCTTCTTGAACCACGCTGGGCTGCCCCTGCTCAGCGCCCCGCCAGGCGTGGGCCTGGTCTCGGCAGCTGCTGCGGCCGTGGCGGCCTCCATCTCCAGCAAGTCTCCGGGCCTCTCCTCATCCTCCTCCTCATCCTCGTCCTCATCCTCCACTTGCAGCGAGGCCGCAGCACAGACCCCTGGAGGCCCCGGGGGGCCCGAGGCAGGGTCCAAGCCCGAGTGAGGGCCCACCTTGCCTCCCCTCCTACTCCTGTGACCCCCACCTCAGTCCCCCCCGCCTGGGAAGAGGGCGAGGGGGCCAGCAGTGGTGGTGCAGAGGGTCCTTGGAGCCGGAGTGACAAGGGAGGAAAGACCAAAAAAAAACCCCCAACTAACCAAAAAAACAAAACAAAACAAGAAAGAAAGAAGGAAAGAAGAAAGAAAATGAAAGAAACCAACCAACAAAAAGAAACCAAAAATAATCACAACAGAAACCAGCTGCCCCAAAGGAACCAGAGGTGAAAAACAAACCAAAACCAAAAACAAAAACAAAAAAATCCCCCACAAAACCAAACCAAAAACCAGTTGCGAGCCAGACCTCAGTGTGCTCACCCTCACCGCTACGACACCAAATAAGAACCCCAGCCAGGGGCAGAGAAGCCTCGGCAGGGCGGACCTCTCGCTGAGCCCCTGGCTAGGGGGCCAACTCCCAAACTTGCCTCCCCCAGTGGGGGCCAGAGAAGGCAAAAGAGAATGTGCCAGCCTCCAGCCCCAGCCCCCAGCCCTGGCCCAGCGAAAAGACAGGGCACAGCCTGGGGCCAACGGGGTGGGCTCAGAACCACCCGCCAAATGTTCTTTTCCAGAAGGTGAAAGAGAAGGGGCCTGAACAACCTTACACCAAATATTCAGTAGCTTCATCCAAAGGATGTACAGAATTTTTAGCGTTATGCTCAACAGAATGTGTCCCTACCATGTGTCCCCCTCTCCCTTGGCCTCCGGCTCTCCCCACCTGGGCAAGGGGTCTTGCTTTAACCTCCTCCCTCCCCCAGCCAGGGGAGAGTGCAGGGGCAGGCCTGGGATGACTTTTCACCCCTCGTACCTCCCCGTTTTCCCTTTGAAGGGTGGGCTAGGCCGGTTTGCGAAGTTCTAGCTCTCACATGTTCCCCGCCCCCCCAACCCAGTCACCCTCCTCTGCTCTGGAATCCACCCCCTCCCCGGCCCAGGGGAAGGTGGAAGTTTCAGGCAAGAGGGATGAGGTGAGGGCATTCAAGTTGTCTTTTTTCCCATCGTTGTCTGTTTCCCTGAAAAAAAATTCATATTCCAGTGCCTATCCGTGGGATCCTTCACGTTCTTTGACATTGACCAGAAACCAAAAAGAGAACTCACCTCGCTCTTCCCACCCTGTGTCCCTCTGATACTGGCAGATGCCTCTTCCTCCCCCCCCCACACATGTACACACGCACGCACCCCAGTGGTGGGGTTCCTCAAGGTGGCATCCCCATCAGGGTCCATGTGGCGGGGACAGTGCCATGACCTGTGGTCCCCATCCGAGAGGGCACTGTGGTGGCCACCACTCCCACGAGACCTCCCTCGAGTCTTGGCTGGACCCCATGTTTGCCCAGCCCCGGACCCGTCTCAGTGGACAGAGGAGAGACGCCGCTGGGAGCCACTTTGCCCTCCTGCTATTGTGGAGGCCAACAAAGTTTTGAACCAAAAAAAAAACAAAACAAAACACAAAAAACAAAAAACAAAAAAACCAAACAAACAATAAATTAAAACTAGAAAAAAAAGAATTTATAGATATATATATATATTTAAGGGAAAGAAGACGAGGACTCTTCAAGAATAAGAAGGAGCCGCGAGGTGGAGCCAAGCCCCTGCGCCAGTGGTCCAGGCCCTTGGTCCCCAAGGCGGATGGAAGGACAGACGCTTCTTTCTCTTCACAAATACCTCATGGACGTCGTCTTCGGGAAAGCCGGAGGGGGAGGCTGGGGCAGGGCCTGTCCCTCAGCCAGGGCGGATGGAAGCGGGTGGGCAGGGCTGAGAGAGGGGGGTCAGGGACAGGGGTGGAGAGCCCCAAGCTCCCTGCCCCCCAATCCATTGAAAAAGCTTTAAAAAAAAAAAAAAAGAAACAGGAAACAAGGAATAAGAAAGCAAAAAGAATGGACGAAGGAAAACGAACAAACTTTCGGGTGGTTTGATTCCTCCTTTGATTTCTTTTTCTGTTCTCTTCAGTCTGTTCTCTCTCTGCTCCTCCCTCTCCCTCTTCCTTCGCTCTTCTCTTGCCCCTCCCAGTCTCCCGTCTTTCTGTGTCTCTCCTCAAACCAAAGTGTTGCTGTGAAGGACTCGAGCCATTGAAATCAGAGGCCTGGCCCCCGCTGGGCGGAGCAGCCGGGAGCCCGGAGCCCCGAGCCAGCCATGCTGCTGGGCACTCCGAGGAGAGGCGGCCCCCGCCCTGGGCCCCCACCCCCACAGGCCTCAGGGTTCTTTCTTTCTTTCTTGTCTCCCTTCTCCCACCCGGGAAATGAAACTGTTGGGCTGGGCCACGGAGACAGCAGAGACTCGGCTGTTTTGGGGGTCTCGGGGTGCCTTGCCTGGGCAGCCGTGGAGTGGCCGCCCCTCCCGCCCTGGCACCGATGGGGCCTGGCATGCCGTCGACCCATCCTCGCCAGAATGTAAGCATCTCCGCTGAACCGACTCCCTGCCCTTACCCTACCTCTGAGTTTGTCCATTTTTATTTCCTGAAGAGAAGGGACTGGCGAGAGGGCCTGGGCCCCTGCCCAAGGGTGGAGAGGGGCCAAGGGCTCCTGAACAGATAGAAAAGACATTTGAGCAGAGCAAAGTGAAAGGAATTACGACCAAATACCCCTCCGAGAAGACAGGCAGCATGGAAGGCATGGTGGAGATGACTCAGAAACTATGATTCTAGACCAAAAAACAAAACAAAAAAAAAAACAAAAAAGAAAAAAAAAAACCCACCAAAAAAAAACAAAAACAAAAAAAAAAAAAGAAAAAAAAAGGAAAGAAAATCCAGGACTCACCACCACCCACTTCATCCTGCTTCCTCCCCATCAAGTCCTGCCACTGGGGACCTCTCCCACACCCCGCACCCCAGTGTGGTGGGAGTGGGGCAGAGAGGAGAGGAGGAAGCAGGGGCAGGGATGGGGCCGATGCCCTGACATTGGTGGAGGGACCCCCGTGCAGCCGGGGGTGGGGGGACTCTCCCCATCCAACCCCCATAACTGGGAAAAGAAAAACAACAAAAAAAAGAAAATTCCTGGGAGGGGAAAAATAACCAAATCCCAAGCTTTAACTACAGCTGTGAAACCAAATATTTGGAAGGGGGTGGGAGGGAGGGGCAAGTGTGCCCCAGGTCTCCCCCCTGGGCCCCCCTCCCCCGAGGACTCGAGATAAGGCACCAAATACCTCATAGAACTTTAATGTTAAAAAAAGGAAACCAAATATCGTTGGCTGGGGGCCAGCCAGGGCAAGGGGCTGGGGGACTGGAGGGAGCCAGGGTTGGGAAGGTGATGGGGGAATTCATGCCCCCCACCCCGCTCTGCCCCTTCCATTCCAGTACCCCCTGTCTCGACTCCGGGAAACAAAACTATCTCATCGTTTTTATTTTGTGGTCTGTACAGAGCCTGTGTCCGTGTGTCTGTGTGTGAGCGAGAGAGTTGGGGGGCTGGGGGACTTTATGTGGGAGATGGGGAGGGAGACCCCAAGCTAGGCTCTGGGCTAGGTGAGATGTCTGAGGTGGGGGGCCAGCGGCCTGGGCTAGAAAGAGAGGAAGATGAGTGGATTGGAGGTAGGGGGAGCCTTCTGAATTTCTCTTCTCCCCAACCCTGACCTCCTACTTGAGGGAGGGACAGAGAATGGGTCTACCCTAATGGTGGGCCTTTTGTGCCAAAAAAAAAAAAAAATGCCAGTAACTAAAACACCTCTCTGTTCTCTTCTGGGAGGGTGGGGGCTGGAAGTGGGAGGGAGGGGCTGGGGGTATAAGTGGGGGTGGGTGGAGATGGGGAACCCAAACCCTATAGGAGTTGGGGCTAAGATCAGGAGGGGAGGGAAACGTATGAGTTTCCCCCGCACATCTCCTCCCTGGAGAAGGCCAAGAGAGGGTCTCCTAGCCCCGCACCCTGGGCAGACAGGCTAAGGGATTAGCCTTGTACGTAGGTGATGACCTGACTAATTTCCTTGCCCACCCAAATCCCAGGGTGCCTCTCTCTCCCTTTTAGCCCAGGGTAGGGGGAACTGAGTGAGAGAGAGAGTGAGACCGACTGAGCAAGATTGAGACACGCGGGCCCCCACTGGCCTCCGAGTGGGAAAGGCAAGTGCGAGAGATAAAGGCCTCCAAGAGAAAAAAGAAACAAACCAAAGATTTAACCATTAAAAAAAAAAAAAAAAAACCCACAGACAACTCCGCTACCTTTTTATACGTTGGAAAAAAAAGTGAAAAAAATTAAAAAATAAAAATTAAAAAAAATACACAAAAACTCCAAGCCGCAGTTCCTTCGTGCGGTTTGAACTTTGACCTCAGCAGTCTCCAAAGCAAGATGACGATGACAAAGGCGAAAAAGAAGAAAAAAATAATGTATATTTTTAAGTATTTGTCCTTGAAATGTTAGCTCCTTGTTAAACAAACACAAAAAGGAGAGAAAAATCTAGAGAGAAGTGTTGCTGGGACGGAGACAACTATTTACTATGTCTGTGACCCCTCCCTTCTTCCTCCCCTTCCTCTTCTCTATCCCTGCTGCCCCTCCCCCAGCCCGTCCTCCAAGCCCGGGGGCTCAGTATTTATTTATTTACATAATTGCAGGGTGACTGGGGGCCTCTCTGCACTTGTAGAGAGGGCCTTTGGATCATGGTGGGGTGGGGAAGGGGCAAGGAGTCTGGGGGAAAAGCAGGGACCTGATCTCGGATCAACTCCTCTCTGCTAGCTCCTTTCCGGCTTCCTATCCCACTGCGGCCACCGTCCCCTCCCAAATCCAAGCCTGCACTAGAGCAAGATGACCACCCACCTTGTAAAGATCTGAGTGGCTCAGCCCTTTCTGGGGTGGGTGTCTCCCACCCACTCATTCAGATGACCAGGTTGGAATGGGGAGGGGAGGTGGTGGCAAGGAGCGGGCAAGGGAGACCATGAAGTGGTGTCTGGAAATTGAGTAGGCCTGGAGGAGACCTGCCTTTTGTCCGTTCTCAGCAAGTTAGCCCCACTTTCAGTTCTGTCTGACCCCTGTGTTGGTAGCCCCCCCCCCATCCTGTACCCCCTCCCTGTCTCCTCGTGGTAGCGGGTTAGCGTTTCAGTGTTCTTAACTCCAATCTGCTTGTTCATTGTACAATGTGCTTCTTTTAAGGCCCCGTTTTTGTAACTTGAGTGTGTCATTCATCTGAACAACATCAAAAAATAAAAAAGTAAAAACTGTACAGAGAGAAATGCTTTCTGCTCTCCTGTGGTCTCCTCTCTGTACCAGTAAGGATGGTGGGTATGTGTGTGCTGCGGACAAGGAGGGGTGGGGGATGGCTTTGCTTCTGTTCACACAGAGCAAATGTTCAGAAGTGAGGCCCGAGCCGTGTTTTCACCCATCAGAACCAGGTCTCAGAATTTAGGATGAATTCCAATTCCTGAATTCACATCTCACTTCTGCCATTTTATAGCTTGTGTGATTTTTGATATCTGACCTTCAGTGTCCTCATCTGTAACATGTGGGCAATACCAACCCTATGGGGTTGCAAGAATTAAATGAGATGACGAGGTAAGTGCTTAGGACAGATCTCTGGCAACACTGTCTTCAATAAATGAGAACTATGGGAAATCCAGGAAGCCAGTGAGTCTTCCCCACTTCAATCCCCAGAGACTAACAAGACCCTTGAAAAACAGTTGACTTTGAAATTGTCTGGTACAAGGTACACTTTTTTAGAGTGACATTAACTCTCACTCACTCAAATTTTTGTGCCCAGCTTGACTAGGTCATTTGGCAAGAACAATGGCTTAGAGGCCAGGCCATGGGCTGATCCCCAAGACCTCATCACTGAAAATCAGAAATGGTGTCGACAACTGGGTTTTCTCACTGGCATCGTGTCTCCTTGTCACTGTTTCATCCCTCTGATGTACGCTTGGCACACAGGTGCTGGGATTCTGCAGTTTCAACAGGAAGGGATGGGGGAGACAGGAGAAAGGAAAAGAACAGAAGAAGGGGTTGGATCACTTAGATAAGAAGTATTAGCACTGCATCGTTTTGGCAAGATTGAAAGAAAAAAAGCACCTCCCCAATTCTCAAGACAAGTCTGTAGGGATGGGAAAGTGGGATGTTGGTATAGAGGAAGGTCACTTGTCTAGCCCCCTCTGGTAGGGTGGTGCGGTCAGAACCATACAGACCTGAGTTCCTTGTCACCCAGACCATTCTGTGGCAAGCACAGACAGCACACCTGAGAGCATCCGCTTGCAGCCCCATGAATGTGCCCAACTGCTCCACATGCCCTTCCTCTGGCCTCCTCTTGTCAAGAGCATATTGGGCTCTAGTGGACCACTGTTGTGTTCCCTTGATTTTTCTTCTGCTTATGTAGCTTCCATATCCAACTAAAAATAGGATATGCAAGGCTCTTTTTAGAGGGGTCAGCAAGTCACCTGCATCAGAATTGGTGTTTGTTTATTTATCTTGGGGGATGGGGGGAGAGGCAGAGAGAGAATCTTAAGCAGGGTGTGGACACCCAGCCTGGAGCCTGCCACGGGGCTTAATCTCATGACCCTGAGATCATGACCTGACTCCAAATCTAGAGTAGGATGCTTAACCGGCGGAGTCACTCAGGCACCCTTACTTATTTTTAAAGATTTTATTTTTAAGTAATCTCTACACCCAACGTGGGGCTTGAACTCACAACGCCAAGATCAAGAGTCACACGCTCTACTAACTGAACCAGCCAGGCGCCCCAGAATTGGTGCAGATTCCTGGGGGCACCTGGGTGGCTCAGTTAGTTAAGCATCTAACTCTTGATTTCGGCTCAGGTCATGATCTCAGGGTAGTGGGATTGAACCTCAAGTCAGGCTCTGTGCTGGGTGTGGAGCCTGCTTGGGATTCTTTCTCTCCCCCTAAAAAAAAAGAAAAAAGGAAAATGCAGATTCCTGGATCTCATCCAGACACGTTTGCTGGATCTGAATCTCTGAGGGAACTGCCTAACGAACATTAAAGTTCAAGAACCTTTGTCTGTCCAACTTAAACCCCAGCATCCAACAGGGGTTTGATTCGTGCCATCCTTTTTTAGGACAGTAGTTCAACTGAGGACCATCAAGTTTCAGCGGGGTGATGGTGAACAATGAGTCTTGTTCATCAATAGTGTTTGCACACGTCTACTTTTCTCAGGGTGGGAGTCTGAAGTTTTCATTCGAGGCTCTAAAAAGGAACCACAGTTGAGGAAGGGTGATCACCCCACTGTCACAGAGCCATTCTTCTCTGCTGAATCTGGGAGTCAACCAGCACCCTCAGGGTTCCGCCTTCCCCTATTCCTGTCCCTTTTCTTGATTCAACCTTATTTTTATCTGGTTTGGCAAGGATAATTCCTTCAATTGTTCTAAGCACTTATTTGATATGACTTTCAGGACGTTGCTGCTCTTCTTGGGAGGGGACAGTTTGAGAATTAATCTCTACTTGGGGATTGAAGGGGATCTGGCATGCGGGGCCGAGATGGCTTGAGTCCTTTTGGCAGGGTGTGAGGTCACTGAAAGATGGTGCTCATGATCCACACACTCTGCTAGAAAGCAACTGCTTAACAGAGAACTGCTCTTCATTAGGTCAGTTTATCAAACGGGTGATCTTTTTCTTTAATAAGTCTTATGTAGTAAAATTTCTGTTACAGGTAAGGAGACTTGGTTTCTAGTCCTGGTCCACCGCCTGTGGCCTTGGTAAGTCTCCCCTCTCGAGCCATTTTTCACCTGAACATAAGGCGAAACCAGTGTGTCTCTGAGCCTGGTGCCCAGAGGCTACAGGTCTAGTGACGGGGCCGAGAATAACAGACTCTCGGGCCTCCCTTTCCCTGGTTTCAATACAAATAGCTTCCCTTCACCTCTCATTTATTAGGGGTCCAAGTATGAATTTTCTCCAACAGGAAGACTGGAGTATGGAGTAACCTTAGCGGGGCTTATTTTTCTTGGGCTGAGGCTCTTTAAGAGACAACACAAGCATAGCAACTGAGCGTTCCCACCAGTCACCATCTTCTTGACTGCCCTCCCCCAAGTATGTAGAAGGCAGCGGACTGTGGAGGAAGCATAGGGGCGATGAAACCAGATGAAACTAGGCTTCAATTCAAGCTCTAGCCTATGTGGGTTGAATGACCATGGGCAAATCACCTCCCTGCTTCTGACTTCAGACTCTTTCCCTGCAAGATGTTCTCCTCACAGGTGAGTGTGACAATTGTTATAAAAACCTAAGTTCTTGAGACAAACTAGACAAACACCAGCTAGCCACTCCAACCACCCCTCTCCCCATGTCTGTTAGCTAAGCCGGAATTCTAGGTGGGCGTCAAGGTAGCTTATGAGGCTGCCTACCCCCAGAATCTTCTCCAAGGCCGCAGTTGGGTCTGGTCCTGGGAGACACCCTCCTCTACTGCCCTGGAGATCATGCCTTTCCCAGACCTGCATTTGCCCTCAGGGATCTATAGTGAGAAAACCAGATGGCCTTGGGGGAGATGGTTCATGTCAGGCCAGGAGTGGGGGCCAGAAGTGGTGAGAAAAAATCTGAATATTTTCCCAAATGTTCCTGCCACCAATTGAAAACAGCTTCAGGTTTTTCTATGGGGCTGTGGAGACCTCTAGTGGCAAGACAGCCACACTGCTTCCCGTGCCGCACCAGGGTGAAGTCCCTGCTCTCTGAGCCAGGCCCTGGGACTCCAGGTCCTCTTTAGTTCAGTAAAGGTCTCCTGAGCTCCTACTACTTGGCAGGCCCTGTTCTGGATGCTGAAAAAGCCATAAAGTCAGCTCCCAAATCCCACCCCACACAGCTGGGCCAGACAAAAACACATAAATGTCCAATTCAGTCTTTATTGACTGTTTCATCTTGGGGCCACCCGCACTAACAGGTGGAAGGTGGGGGTGGGGCGGGGCGCCTTTTATACATATCAAGGACCCCAGAGCTCCCCCCTCGGAAGAGAGAATAAATCCAGTTACAGAACCTACATGGTGGTTGGGAGAGGCGGAGGAAGGGGCACAGTATCTACAGAGACTTAAGGGGACACTGGAGGAGGTTCTTCAGCAACAGGGACTGGTGGTGCTGAAGAGGGAAAGGGGGCAGGGTCAGCCGCTGATCTGGACCCCCTCGGCCTCAGCCAGGGGATAGATCTCAATGGCCTCCACCAGGGGCAGCGCCTCCACTGCAGTCTCCATGACGGCCAGACCGACGGCGGCCTCGGCCTCGGCCACCTGCTGCCGCACGGCTGCCTGATGCTGCTGCTGGTGGGTCTTGCGGTGCTTCCAGAGGTTGGAGAAGGAGCGGTAGCTCTTGCCACAGTCAGGGCAGGAGTAGGGCCGCTCCCCCGTGTGAATGCGCCGATGCTCTGCCAAGCGCATGGAGATGGCAAAGGCCTTGCCGCACACTTCGCAGGCAAAGGGCCGCTCGCCTGTGTGCAGGCGCCGGTGGTCCTTCAGGTGGGTGCTCTGACGGAAGGCCTTGCCGCAGTCCGGACACGGGTACGGCCGCTCCCCCGTGTGGATGCGCCGGTGCACCTGCAGCGAGGTCTCTGTGCTGAACAGCTTCTTACACTCGCTGCACTCCAGGCCCCGGCGTCGGGCAGGGGCTGCGGGGGCTGCGGGGGCCGCGGGGGCCGCGCCCCCCAGGG